AAGGCCTAACATCCCAATGGAGTCTGTTAAGCCTCTAAGTTAGGTCAACATAATTTAGAGTAAGCAAGTGACGTGAGACCTCAACAATTACTTATTAACTACTCCCACTCACTTTTCTCTTCACCACCCACACATTTGTAAGATGAAATAGCATCATTGCATTGTCCAGAGATATTAAAGGCAGTTTTAAATTCCGACAGCGATATTCCTGAACAGAGATAACCCCATTGCCTATCAATGCCAACTACGGCAAACATAGGCATACCACAATTGAGCAAGCACTCATTCGGACCTTGCCTAGCTCAAATAAATATTTTCCACATAGTCTACGATGCTTTTTGTTTCCACATCTTAATGTTTGATATCACATATATATATATATATATATATATATATATATATATATATATATATATATATATATATATACATATAGGGTTAAATGCATTTATTAAAATTTCGATGCGCAAATATTTAAGTAACAACTTGACAATGATAGAACTTTTGATTTTGTTGAAATTTAGGAGAAGACAAGCTTAATCTGTCTTCACAGAACAAGTTTCACTTGAAATCTGTTTACGTCATTCCAAGCCATTATGTTGATCATTTACTAGGTTTTGAGTTGATATAATTCGTGCGTTAGCTAATTCAGGTAACACTTGCACACTCCCAACCGCAACTGGTTATAATCGATTTAATTTTGACTTGAATTTTGTACCTGAACGAGAGCAAATGTTAGTAATGCCATCATTTCAGACTTTATACATTTAACAAATTATTACTCTTTATACCCAAAAATCCCTATCAGCAAGCTTAATTATCAATAAAAATATCCATTTTTTGCCAAAAATATGAGGATTTGAATCGTTAACTTAAAAATACGTAGACAGATCGAAACGGTAGCTTAACTCACTATCTCCAAGGTTCCATTCATCACGATGAAACTGCATGGTTAATTAGTTAGCAAAAATAATAGTTAATATCATTATTAGACCACGTAGGTGTTGGGTGTCATCTATTATCTGCTGTCTGTCAATCTGGAGTAATAAAAGTGGAGATTATTTTGACGGGAACAAATATTCAATCCATTTGCGCATTAAACCGATATTTGCCTTTTTTTCAATGATTAACACAACATTCGAGTGCTTCGTGTAGAAAGCGACTATACCGATGTTTTCACACTTAATTTAATTCTCAGCTCTTTTATAAAGAATAAAGCAAACTTGTAAACAGTAAGCGTTACACTACATTGTTCGGACGTTTCAAATTGTAGCTTACTAAGCATCGGTATGGTAGGTATTGATATTTTCGAAACTATAAATTTGTTTGTTCTGAAAGTGAATTTAGTACATCTTACGACTTCAATTCAAATTTAATATAAACGGACATCTGCATCCACTCATTTTTCCACCATCACTACGAATATCTCAAATGTGGTCTTAATTGATCTTAATTATTTATTGTACATCCAGGAGTTAAAGTAAAGCTAATGTGTCAATTTTTGTTTGAATCGAGCAGGTACACATTAAATCGTGGCTCATTTATATATTTTAAACAATTAATAACTTAGTTAACAAACCTCTCACAAGAATTCCATGAACAATATTGCAAAATAAAGCATAATAAAAAATACTGTATTTTTATTTCCAAAAAACCAAAAAGAAATTATTCGACAGTATGTTTTAAAACAAACAATCATCAACTGGAGTTTTCTTTGAACGTTCAAACTTCTCAACGATCAAGTCAACCATTTGACTCAGTACAATAGGCACAAACATTCTTGCCGTAAAACATGCAATATTCTCACTCTGGAAATTAAGCCCTGAATTGTTATAGAAATAGAAAATTCCGGTTTCATAAAACACGGCGACAATCCAGAAGCAAATTCTTGATACCAAAAGCCAGCGTTCGTTTGTTTGGTCCTGTTTTAGTGGCAAATAAGTTGTAAAACACAAGCGGTAATCATCAATACGCCAGCATTAACGAGACACGAAATCAGTGTAGCACTAAAAGGTTTGAAACTAAGGCATAATTCCGAGAAGGTGAAGCCACAAATCCACCCAATGAAGATTAGTGCAATCAACGTAAGGGAAGGAATAATAGAAATCGTTTCGAATTCTCCGTGATGCGAAAAAAATGCGTTAACTAAATTTGATTTGACGTGATTATTTATCACTCGATTTCTCTGTGCACTTGCAAACCAGATTAGAGAATTAGAGAACCAATCAAATGGCTATTCACTTAGGTAATATGGAAGCTAATGCACGTAGTTATAAGAATTCGTCAAGATTGTAAACAGTTAATATTCAATCAAATTTATAATACTTCATAAGCTTAATTAATACCAAAAATTAAATAGTGTCCTTTCTATATGTACGTTTTAAAACAGAGAGAAGTTAACTTGAAGTGAATATTTGTTGCGAATGGTAATGCTTTAGTGTTGTAAATCTAGTGTAAATCAGCCCCGTATTATATATTATTTTTGGGTATGAGATGGACTTACCTCCATGTGGCGCCCCCTGTTTAATGAAAAGTCATACGGCAACATGTCCATAAACTGACAGTTCACTTTCGACTTCAAACTCCCTTGACTCACTGCATGTTATATTCGACCACCTCCGCAGTACTCATCTTACCTTTTTCTTCACCTTTATGTCTATCCCTTCTGCATCAGTGAATCACTCTTCTGCCCCCCTCCCCCTCCCCTCCCAGCATCTGTTTGTTTTAAAGTATTTGTAAAGAATTTGGTCAGTGAGGAAGCCCTCGGTCATTCTGACCTTATAGAGGAGTGTCTTAAGGGATAATTAAGTCAAAAAAGCGTTCTTTGTCCAGAATATAGGACAATAACAATATCCAATTTAATCATGATATTTAGAAAACTCTCAACTAATGGGTTGATATGTCATTGAATGACTTTATCCATTAAGTTCACTTTAAATCCTAAAAACAGGCCTCATCCCTATGTACCATTGTGATGCGAAAGAGTCAGTCAAATTGAGTTGCCAGCAGGATGACAAGCTGATAACGTAGAATTTGACAACTCTAATCACTTGTCGGTGTAACTATCGCTATGACATTAGCCCGTAAGATTATTATTATTATTATTATATCAAATGGCAGGCGGTTTGATGGTTATCATTTGCCCTTTAGTTGACTTCAGGTTTCACAGAGGGGAAGGAACATCAAAGTGGATGATGGTAGTTTGATGTAGTAGGTCAACTGCCGGTTAATAGACTTTTTTGCCGTATGCGTATACGTTGCCCAGGGTGCACCACGGGGAGGTAAGTCTATCGCACACCCCTTAGCCCGTAAGATTAAATCCTGACTTCTAAATATTCAATAACTTGATTTGTAAGATGTAAAATAATGGCTGATTACTTTGACAAGGTCTCTGCTATCCAGACGAAAACATTTAATGCGATTTATTATCAACGTTGCTTATACTCTTTAATTAAAAACTACGTAACCAAATTGTATGATCACAAATGCATTGCATGAATTAAGAACCAGAGACAAGTCAAGCTACAAATTGTGGAAGGAGTTACTGAGGCGAATTAAAAATAAGGCTTTCAACAAGCATGAATAAGGCAAGATTATTAAAATGACCAATGGCTTATTCTGCTTACTCAAGCTATATTTGCTTAAACAACCAAAACGTGAATTTCCATCTCTAATATCATCCAACCACATATAAGGGTGATTAGGGGGAAACAAGATCGATAGGATGCGATATGTTGAAAATAAAAGAGATGATGATAATATGAGGCCATATCCTCATAGCAATAGCTCATAGACGGTTCAAGCTGAGTTGTGTGGGATAGCATTCAGTGGTATATTTGGATGCTAATTGCTTGGCTTCGTGTTGGTGGTAGTCCAAGTGGTGGATTATCATTTTGTAGAAGAAGAAGGAGTGCGGATTGAAGAGGAATGTGGCAAATTGCAAATAATCGTCAACTTCATCACCTAAGTAATGAACTCCAAATTAACGAATCAATATTCGTACAATTAATCGATATCATTGCAAAGTTGTGCAAAGTAAACATTTATTTGTTTAAATTTTAGCATTTTAGGCTGAATACAACTGGACTCTGAAAACATTCGATTGTCTGCCTTTCTATTGCATTTCCAATTGCTCAACCTCAAACGGCCCCATCTATACATTCAATGCAACCAACACGTTTGCGACTTATAAAATTTTCAATACTGTACTATGTCAAGCTGATTTTTTGTATTATTTAAGCAAAATTACGATAGTTGAACCATTCTAATTTGAGCAACATTACCATCTGAAACTTCAAAACAGCAGATTTTTGCATTTTGATGGGAAGTTGAGCTCTCAATTACGAAGAACACTGAAATTTCAAATTTACTTCTGGCCTCCCCAACCCTCAACCGGAATCCACACTCCAATCTACAAATACTACTTACAAATTTTCAATAGCAAGATTATGCTCAATGAAGAGGGTGCTTAAAAGCTTTCATGAATGTGTCACGAATCAGTCATTTAGCCAATCATAAATTTCCCATTTTGACATTTACCCTCTCTGCAAAGTAGGCTATAATGCTAATTATAATTATAAAGACGCCTGTCATTTGAAATAAACAAATAACTTAATAAATAGATAAATAAACATTCAGCACAATTTGGCAGACAGTTTTCTTCCAAGCCGATTTCCAACCTTGCAAATGTGACTCCAAGTGCAGTATACAAGTAAGGAAGTGGCTGTGTAAAGTGGCTGTAAAAGAAAGAAATTGTATTGATCGGTTGAATGCAACTCTGCACAAAACCTGTTGTTTGCCATCTGTCATAAATGACGTGACCTCGGCCTCTTGACCTGGATTGCAGACCATTAAGTTGTACTGGGCCAAATTATCAGTTACTACCCCGGTTACTACCTGACCCCAAGTGTCCTCATTGGATACATTTGCCATCTGCAAGCTATATATTGCCAGCCAAAAGATACATTTGTCATATTTCAACTGATACATCTACAGTCAACATGTCTTGCTCTCTCTCCCCAAATTGCACACACCGACCACTTCTTCCTACACAGGCAACTCGTGAACATCTCGACACCTTCATTTCCCAATATCATCCAACTTCTCTGCCTCTCCCTCACCATTTCTTCTCTTCATCACATCCTACATCTACCGCCATTCCTCATCTTCCTTCACCTCATTCTTTACACCTAATCGAAGCGTACCACTTCTTCCTCTCTTCAAGCAACCACTCCAGTGTGCAAACAACCAATGCACACCATTCACCTCCTCCAACTCCTTCTTCGTTAGGCTCCACTTCAACAGGTGCTCTCTCTTCACTGCCTCACGTACATTCCCTCTCCCAACTAGCTCTCCAAACCTCCATCGATAACACCCTCACTACATTCCTCGAGACCTCTATATCGCTGTCCTCTACTTCCTCTACTACTTATCGCAACAGTTGCCCTGCCTCTCCAACTCCTTTCCGTACCCCTCCTCCTCCTCGTAAACCTTTACCCTCCCACCCACCTCCTACTTTCACTTCTTCCACTCCATCTACTTCTATCTCCCACCCTATACCAACATTCCGCGGTTCCAGTTATTCCCCCAACGTCCATCACACCAATCGCCAAACCCATCATCAAATTCCTCCAATTTCAACTAAATCCTACCATCCACATTCTATTCAAATGCAACTGTGTCCGCCTTCAAAACAATTTTTGCATCCAGTTCAAATGTCCCCAGACATTTTACTTAACAAACCAAACAATTCTCACACTTACGCACGCTACCACAAATCGCCTTTCTATCCCTCATTTCCCTTATCAACCAACTCTCCCAGACCTTCATCATCACCTCACACAAAACACATCTTAACGACCCACGTGCGTGCATCCGCACACACCTCCTACTCAGTCTCCCAATCCTCCATCACCTCCCACATCTCCGCCATCTCCGCCATCTACACCGTCTCCCACCTCTCCTCCCAATTCTTCCTCCCCTCTCTCTCCATCTCCGAGGAAATACACCTTGTCATGTCCATAATCATCACTAAGAGGCACATCACTGGCCCCAAGCGCCACACACAC